TTTGGTCAAGGATAATAAACCAAGATAGACACCATACACACCTGACGCCATACACACCTGACAGCCAAATTGAGAACATGTATGCCATACCACACAGTGTTCGCAAAGGTGTGGAGGGAGAGGCCCTCTCATACGCTGGCTGTAGAAGAATAACTGGATTATGTAGGGAGGGCTATTTGACATTGAAAACATTAATCATTTCTGAGTCCACTGATTCATCTTAGAACTGGTCCCACAGAAACTGTACAAGAGGGACAAGCATAAGGACAAGGACAGTGGCTGCAGCAATGTCTGCAATAGTGGAAAACTGGATACAAACATCCCACAAGAGGAACCTGTTGAAGTACACAATGGTATGTCATCCGATGGAAAACCATGCACTACTGAGGAGCATGATGCATATGCCAAAATGTCTGAGGATATAACACTTAGGGGGAAGCATGTTTCAAGACAGTGCACAATAGGATCCTTGTGAGGTTAAAAATTAGATGTTGTCATGTTCTTATGGACAGTATATTTTTTTAATATTTTGTTTTTTAGTTGTAGTCACAATAATATTGTAGGACACAATACCTTTATTTTATTTTTATGTGGTGCTGAGGATCGAACCCAGCACCCTGCACATGTCAAGTGAGTGCTCTACCACTGTGCCATAACCCCAGCCCTGGACAGTATATTTTTAACGATACCAGATTTGGTCCACAAGCTCTTCTGTTGAGATTCTCTCCTTTCCTTCTTCACCCACGACACCTGTGGGAATGGCTATAACCTCACTCTGCTATGGCCACTGTTATCCCCCAAGTTTTTTTTTTTTTTTTTTTTTTAAATCACTGCCTTACAATTGTACACAGTGGTGGCATTCATTGGTATACATTCACGCATGCATACAATGTAATTTGGCCATTATCATTCCATTTGGGGTTTCTCTTACTTGGTGCCCATGAAACCTGTCAGCCTCATATATAAATGAAGGTGTTGTGCTGGTTCTGTCCCCTGGAGAAGGCTGCTTGCAATGAAGAGAACATCAGTCATGTGCGGGGCCACACAGGCTGGATGTGGAGGAGCCTGGTGCTGCTGCTGTTTGGGTGTATTGTAACCCTCTACCAGCTGCCTTCTGCTCAGCTATGCAGCTTGTACATAGAAGACCTGATCTCTTTCCAGGGAGATCCATTTCTGTTTAAGCTATTTGGGCACATTTCTGTCCTTGGCAACTCAGGGTCTTTTTTTCTTCTTTTTTTTTTTTAGAGAGAGAGAGAGAGAGAGAGAGAGAGAGGGAGGGAGGGAGGAAAGAGGAGAGAGGGGGGGGAGAGAGGGAGGGAGGGGAGAGAGGAAGAGAGAGAGAGAGAGAGAGAGAGAGAGAATTTTTTTTATATTTATTTTTCAGTTTTCGGTGGGCACAACATCTTTATTTTATTTTTATGTGGTGCTGAGGATCGAACCCAGCGCTCCACGCATGCCAGGCGAGCACGTTACCACGTGAGCCACATCCCCAGCCCATCAGGGTCTTAACTAATAAAAAAAAAATGCAGTTAAGTATGTGGGCCTACACCCCAAACTGTCCTTTCCAGTGAGGGTCCTAGCACGGAGAACTTTTACTTTGTGTACTATGCATTTTATAATGTTGGGGTTTAATTATTTATTTTGATGATATGCCGACAGTTATTTTGAAATTGGGAAGTCTTAAAAAAATAAAAGAAGCATAAAAAGTGTTTCATATCTCTACCATATTCTCAAAAAGTGACAAAGACATCTGAGCAGGAGAGTTGATCACCACCCCCAGTCATGTCAAGGAACATATCTCAGGTAGAGATCTTAACCATCACTACTAAGTATTAATCTCTGGGGTTTTGGGTGGATGCCCTTGATACTTAGATGGGAAACTACTTCCTTTTCAGGAAAGGTGATGTTACAACAGTCAGATCTAGTCCCACTCAAATTCACTGAAGCTTACTGATGGGGGTGGCAGAGACCTATCCTAATTAGATGACTATTTGAAGCTATTCACCCTTTCATTTGACATAAATCTACTGTCCTCAACTGTTCTTTCTGTCCCAGTGCAACGTTACCTTAATCCAGACCAGATTAGAGGGAGAGGGCTGGCCTCTCTGGAGCCCTGTTACCTTCCATTATAATTAGGGGATCATGCCCCAGTAGGAATGCCCAGCCAGGCAATACCCCAGCTGCACACAGATACACAGAGGCTCATATGAGGCCACAGTCATCCTTCGCACATAGCTCAGCCCGGCCCCCATCTGGTGCTGAGACCAGAGAGACTCGATTCCAGCCTCTGTGAGAACAGGCTTGCTTGGTTCTGTCTTGGCTGCTTATCCTTTTGTGGATTTAGGTCAGTGACAACACTCCCATATTATGAGCCGGGACTGCAATGCTTCATGCAAAGGTAGGCTTGATTGAGAACCCCCATTTCAACTTCCTAACAATTTAGCCCATTTGCCTCTTTGCTGTGATATGTTGATAAAATTGCCCAGGCAATCAACATTACCTAGTTACTCTGACCACGAAAACAATTATGTTTCTGATGAAGCAGTGGCTATATTAAAAAAAAAAAAAAAGAAAAAAGCAATAGCAAATAGCAATGTCCCTGGGCTTCTTCCAACAAAGCCAACTGAGTTTTATTCTCCATGCTGGTAAACTACCCCTTTGCTGCTCCTTCCTAAAAGGAGCCTCCCTCCTGTCCTCAGGTGCTGACTGTGTGTGTGCCAGAGGCCTGACACACAGCATCCTTTTCCTGAGACGGTGGGCAACAGTGCACGGACTCTCTGACTGGATGGTCTCTACCAGCTGGTTACAGTGGGAGAAAAGGTGATTTACTGAGACACATAAAGCACTATAATAGAATACTTTTTTCTTTTTTTCCCATAACTTGACATGGGGAATGTCTAAGTCAGAAAGGCAAGAATTACAAATAAGATTGCTGGGATTACTGAACGTGTGAAAGGGAGCTGGTGGTTGGGAACTTCACCCTCCACCCGTGTTTAACGCGAAATATTCCAGTTGTGTCAGGTTCTGTGAATGCGGGGTGCCACGTGAATGTCCTGTGTGTGGTTCTCCTGTATCCTCTTCTCTGAGTTGCCCTGAGGTGAGCAGGAGAGGGAATTTTTAAGAACCGAGTGGAATCAGAGCTAAGGTGGAAGACCCAGTTGAGACTGGGTCATACTTTTGTGAGGTCATCTTTAAATATAGAGATTCTGTGTTCTGAATTTATATCAGCCTGTAGAAGTCTACCACCAAAAATTAAGTTTCTCTGAGAAAATGTTGTCAAAAATCAAGGCTCACCTATTCCATAAACCGTTTCTTCTACCAAATACTTGAAATCGGGATCTCCATTAACAGATGGTGAGAGAACTGCACTTCTGACTCTGAAATGGTCTCTGATTCATATTAAAACAATAAAATTATATTAGGGGATGGGGAAATATGAGAAAACGCACAAGCCTCATAAGCTACCAAAACAGTGTACGTTCCTGTCAACCCAATTCACTAATTCAACAGAACAGCCTCACTGACAACATGAGGACTACATCTCTATCTAAACAAACGTGGAAATTATAGATTATACACTCTGGAAAAGTCATTAAGAAGCATCTGCTTTCTATGTTTAAGCAGAAGAATATGTTTCCAGGAAAAAAAAATATGATCTGTGTTTCACTGAATTAAGACAACTGTTGCTGGAGTTGAAAGGAAATAAGTCCCTTTGTGTTTATGGACACCTGGCCAAGTTCAGTATTGGGACTGTGGCCTCTTATGGGATGCAGGTCCAATACAGGTAAATGAGGCACTCGGCTGGGTCCTGCCAGTGGGAAAGAGATGCTTTCAGTTACTGAGAAAACACCAGCATTTCTCCTTGGGCTTTTAAGATTCCATCTACCCTTAAGTGATTCTGGTCATTTGGCATGCAAGGACACTGTCCAGGAGTGTTATGAGATCCAGTGTGGTGCAGGGGGAGGAACGGTAAGCTTGACATCAAAGTCCTGGATCTCCCTCTGGGCAGCCATGTGACCTTAGGCAAGTTGCTTACAGGGCTGTGGGCCAAGGTTTTCTCATCTGTAATGGAGTACCCTTGTCTTTCATGACTTGGAAATTCCATTAGAATCTCTGACAAAGTGCCTTTTAGACTGAGAACTAGTGTATGAAGGGAAGGAATTTAGGGCTTTGATGGCAAGAAATGATAAGATAACTGGAAAAGGTTTCATTCTGTATCCCCATCCCCCATCCAAAGGGATCAAAGAGCTTCAGCAAATTATATTTCACGAGGTCTTCACGGCTCTCCTCATCTTTTTCAAGTACCCACTTTAGTTCTCTAGACTGAGATGGGGAACTTGACCTCAGGTTCATGATTAAGAGCTTGCTAAGCACGTGCCGGGAATGTGGCATCACCCTTAAGAGGCAAAAGAAAGGACAGGAGAGGCTCTTGCCTGAGAAGAGCTTACAAAGCACAGAGGCACAGGAGGGAAGGAGAGTGGAGTATGGAACTGGGAGAAGTGGGCTGGGCCTGGGGTTCCCAATGACTGTAGCAGGCGGGCCTTCGCCACTCCAGGTGCTAAGAAATCAAGAATTATAAGGAAATGAAGAACAGAGTAGTACAGGAAAAACAGCATCAGACAGAAATGTAGATTCATGTTCTATCTTTACCACATTCTGGAGCAAATCACCCTTTTTCTCTTGAATTCAATTTCCATGTGAGCCCAACAAGGCCACTTTCTAGCTCTCCATTTCTCCTTTTTTTAAAATTTATTTTCTTTTTTTCTTTTTGCAGTGCTGGGGATCGAACCCTGGGCTCCACACAGGCCAGGAATGCGCTCTACCACTGACCCACGTGCCCAGCCCCTCCACCACTTGCTCTGTTCCTCGGAATCCTTGGATGGAGCTGGTCACAGCCTGAAGGGAATTCTGCCTTACCCAAGCCACACAGTCTCCAACTGTGTGTCAAGCCCAGTGAGGAAAAAAGAGGTCCCTCCGGGGACAGGGAGGCCACCCAGTACCTGGTGTGGCTGTTGGATGACAGGCTCTCCCAGGGCTGCACGCTGCAGCCGGCCACAGCGAAGGCTCCCCCGCAGCTGCCGTCGAGCTTCATGAGCAGGGCCTTGGCGGCGTTCTCGGCTGTCTTCCTGCAGTCATGGGCTCGTTTGAGCATCTGAGTGATGTTTTCATCCCCTGACTGGTCGCCTACATCACAGAGAAGCCAATGGATTAATCAAGGTTGGCCTGAAAGAGGGAACAAGCCTGCATAAACACGTCTCAGTGACTCAGCAGAGGTGGCACAGTGGGGAGCAACTGGCAGTGGCCCTTCAGTGAGGAGACTTGCATTCTGGGCCTGACTCTCCCCTTGTTTGGGAAGGCATTTCTCTGCTCTGGGCTCCACTATCCTCATGGGCAAATGTGATCTCCAAGGTCAGTTTCCGGCTCTCACGTGCTCTGTTCATCCAGGCTCCTGGCTTCTCCTCCCACTCAGGCACAAGGCCACTGTGCATGGGATCTTTGTGAATGACAGCAGGGAGAAACGGAGGCAAAACTGCCATCTCTCTGTGTCAACAACTTCAGGTAAGAGACTGATGTAGGGCTGAGGTTGTGGCTTAGTGGTAGAACGCTTGCCTAGAATGTGCAAGGCATTGGGTTCTATCCTCAGCACCACATAAATAAATAAAATAAAGGTATTGTGTCCATCTACAACTAAAACAATATACATTTAAAAAAAATGATTGATGTAGAGCAAAAGAGACCAAGCTAATGGTTCAAATGAGAACTTCATATTTTCAGTGCTGATGCTACTATCCCTGACCCTCTCTGCTTGGTAACAAGAGGCCCACTCAAATGCCTCCAGGAGCCAGGAGTTGAGGCTGGAGCAGGAAATGGAGCCTGGTGGGCACCAGCACAGAGTCAGGCAGTGATGTCCCAACCTAGGATGTTCACATTTTCCTTGTTTTAAATACTATGCTGGAAAAAGGCAAAACTTTGGAGACATTAAAAAGATCAGTGGTTGGGGCTGGGGTTGTGGCTCAGTGGTAGAGCACTTGCCTCACATGCATGAGGCACTGGGTTGGATCCTCAGCACCACATAAAAAATAAATAAATAAAATAAAGGCATTGTGTCCATCTACAAATAAAAATATATGCAAAAAAAAAAAAAAGATCAGTGGTGCCAAGGGTTAGGAGGGTGAGACTGGGAAGGGAGGAAGGAATAGGTAGAAGCACAGTGAAACTACTCTTTCGAGTATTACAATGGTAGACACATTGCATTACACATTTGTCCAGACCCATAGAAGGTATACCCCCAAGGGTGAACCCTAATGTAAATTCCAGACTTTGAATGATAATGATGTGTCAACTTAGGGTCATCAAGTATGATGAATGCATGGCTCTGGTGGGAGCATTATCACTATAATGGCAGAGGCTTTCCATGTGCAGGTGCAAGGGCTAGGTGGGATCTCTCTGTACCTTCCTCTCAATTTTGCTGTGAAACTAAAACCGCCCTAAAAAATAAAGACTTAAAAAGAAAAAGAAATGCCAGCCAAAAAAGCCAATCGTTGGCTACCTATAGAGCACATTTTTCCAAATATTTTCAAATGAAATCATTAAATTTTGCATGCTGAACTGTACAGAATGATAAAAGTGGAACTGGGTGAAGTGGGCATGGGTGGCCGAGGTACATTCAGCTTCTTACCCTTTGAAGCCACTGCTGCCCAAAGAAACCCTTCCAGCATCCTAGGTCACAGTTCGAAAACCACTGATCTAAATCATCTAGAATGAACGTAATGAGTGCTTGTGAAGTCAAGAAGAAACAAAGAACACCATTGCAATAATTGATACTGTGGGTAAATGTCACAGACCAGCTCTTGCTTAGATGTCCTGGCGGGGCACAGTGACAGATCTGTGCCGTTGTCAGCGGGATGGAGTGAGATTTAATGGGGTGGGCTGCTAAATATAAAGTCACCCTTAGTGCTATGGAGTGTGGTGAAGAAGTGGGGTGCACCCCACATCTACGGCTCCCTGGACCTTCCTCCCACAACCTGCATGCCCTTTTTCTTTTCACAAAGACACTTTACAGACATCTCAACAGCCGATTGCTATTTGAATTCGGTTCTGAAGTAGGCATGAGATTAATGACAGGTGCGTCTTATAAATACATAAATGAGCCACCCAGTATTAGGTATATACAAGGCATTTTAAGATTGACTTTAAATCTTTTAAATGCAGGTTTATTGAAGCCATTTCAGCTCCATGTAACTGTACTCAGTAGGTAAAAGGTGTCTTTAAAGGACGGAACAGGTTAAAACACTGCTCTGACACAAGCTAGAATTAAGATGATTGATTTGTTTTCTCCTTAATTGATCATTTTTCTTAACACACACACACACACACACACACACACACACACACAACTGACAGCAGGACAAGATCAAGATCACTTTAGGATCTGTTTCATATGACGAATAAAGTTTTATGATTCAACTAAAGGACCCTAAGAAATAAGGTTTCTAATGGAAATGTTGGCAGAGTTTCTACTTCTAGGCTGAGATTGGTAATATTAACAAAAGAAAGAAAGAAAGAAAAAATATTCGAGGGGAGGAGTCGAGGATGGCCATCCATACAAATGAAGGCCTGCTCCATTGTGGGATAACTTAGATATGAAGCAGGAAATTAATGCCCACTTGTTTCCCTTCCTCTAGATTTGATTCAGATTCCTGTGCATGTCACAATCAAAGGAGCAAAAATATGTTGAGTATTCACTGCAAAAGCTAGACCCCAGGCAGGCAAAGGAGCTGGTGAGGACAGTGGGGGCATTTAGAAGGTGCTTTGGTGGTGGCCTTCTTTGTAAGGGGGATCCTGAAAGGACAAGCCCTAATAGAAGCACGCAGCCCTTGAAGAGCTGTGGGCCCCTGACCTCACAGCTCCAAGCCAGCCTGTGACAGATGGCCTGGGGCCATCTAGCCTGCTCCTATACCCACTCATGACTCAAGAGTGACCTAGTCACTTTGGCTTCATGGACTTGCCAATGCCTTTCCAAAGAACTGTAAGCAAGGTCATGTCCAGGCCCCCGTTCTGCCCAAAGGGGTGGGAGCCCTGCCCCTTGGTCTCTCTTCTCTATATCCATTGTGGTCCTCCTCACACCAGAGCAGGCCTCAGAGCCACCATCTGTGGTCAAGTCTAGCAAATTCTGTTGAGCCTAGGATGCCACACTGGCATGGTTTTTAATTACGTTCGCCTTCTACAAATCAGGCCCAAAAGACACCTGAGTCCTGGGGTGGGGGCAAGAAGAGGTGGCAGGGAAGCAAGAGGGTGAGCACACACCTGCACTCCTACTCAGACTGGTGGAGTGCACATTCTGCAAAGCCGGTGACAGCAGGTTCGAAACTACTTCCTCTGCATTCATAAGACACCTGGAGAAAAGGTAGAGGAAACCCACGCTCCAAAACTACTAGAAGAAAGATTCTTAGGGATCGAGCACAGCCAATAAAAGCAGTAAGACAAGACAAAGGCCACAGCAGCAGAGGGACCCTCCACAAGTAGCATCACGGTGTGTCGGAGTGTTGGTCTCTTTAATCACTAGTGTGGGCCTCTGGCTCCATCTGGTCCTACTGTCAGCTCAGGAGAATATGTTTCCTAAGAAGGCTTGTTTGTTTTAACTTGTCTGTAATTCTGTTTCCACTCCAGTTCTTGCTGCATTCAACATAAACAATTTACCCACTCAGTCATGAGGAAAAACGAAAAACACACTTGACAAACGAGTTTGTGTTGCTGGGAGATGACTCAATGCCAGCAGCTGAGAAGGGGGTGGAAGAGCACAAGAGGCTGGGAGAGGAGACAGGGAAGAGGGCCGGTGGGACTCGGGATACTTACCGGGGGAGGAGCCCACGCCAGCTGCTCGGAACTGCCCCAGGATGAGGCTCTGCTCACTCTCAGCCAATGCCAGGAGGAGTTCATAGGCTTCTATGCACTGCTCACTGAAATGGAAGCACATGACGTCCTCAGCTCTCGTGGGGATTGGGGAGCACATTCAATGCCAGCTCCATTTTCAGGATCTGTCTCAGCCTCACCATCCTCATGAGTGAGAAGACCACTCAGATAGGTTCCCTGGACAAAGCCAGTGGCTTGCTCTTTATTGCTGCCCTATTCTAACTTTTCAACTAGCTTCTAGAAAAATATAAGAGAAGCAATTTGGTTGTCCTGTTGATGATCATCTAAGAGGGACATGTGATACACCTGAGGAAATCAGCCTCCAAGGGGGTCCCCCCATCCTGGTATACAAACCCTGGTGCTGCTCCTTTCCATATTGGACCACTGTTGGTCTATATGACTTTAGAGAAGTAGAAGAAATGATGTCACTCCTAAGATTAGGTTCTTAAAAACACTGTGGGTTCCATCTTGGTTCCCCTCTCCTATTTCCTTTTTTCTCTCAGATTATCCTCTCCAGAGGAGGCAGCTGCCATGTCTTGACCACTATCAAGCAGTGTTCTGGAGAGGCCCTTGTAATAAGGAACTATGGCTTCCAGCTAAGAGCCAGGGAAGAACTGAGCCCTCCATGTGATAGCCATGCGGGAGCCTTCCCAGAAGCAAAACTGCAGCCCCAGTTAAGATTTCAGAAGATGCAGTGTAGGCTGACAGCCCACCCAGAACCTCCGTGGAGACCCTGGCCCAGAATGACCCAGCTAAGCCACTCCAGGATTCCTAACCCTCAAGACTGTGACATGATAATCAGTCATGTGACAATCAATAACTAATATAAACCCCCTGAGAAGATGATTTTGACACACACCTGCAGCTTATAACATCCACTAGCTACATGCAACTCTTTAAACATCTTTGAAGTTGAATGAAAAGATAAATTCAGTCCCTTCAGTGCAGTAGCCACTTTCCATACGCTCAATAGACACACGTGGCTCATGGTTACCATACCGTTCAGCACAGAGGGAGAACATACCTTTCCATTGAAACAGAAAGTTCTATTAGATGCTTGTAAAACTGCCTCACAAACACTCTCAGGCTTTCAGAAGCTCTCTCATAGAGTTGGAGTCTGGCTTTCTAGGGGAAGGAAAACCAGTCAAAGGACAGCCCCTGTCCCTTAGCCTGAGACACAGAGGGACCCACACGCAGACAGGAGGCCACGCATGTGCACAACACAGACAAGAGGCCCTCAGTAGCAAGATCTCCTCCTTAAGCAAATAACTAATTAGCTTCCCCAAGCAGAATAGAGTAAATGTTGCTTTAGTCAACATGTAGTTGAGAGGCCATCTGTTTTTAATTGTCTTGTCTTTCATGATTCTTTACTAACAAGTAAGAATAAGGGCCAAAACACTAGCTGGAGGTACTGGCAGTTCCTCCATGCAGGACAGTCCATATTTCAGGACAGAGGTGCTAGCTCTTTATCTATGAGGATGTGCTAATGGCAGGGAAGTCCCTTTTAACCAAAGGCAGACTGCAGGCAGAGAACAACCTGTGCTGACTTGTTGCAGGAGGGATGGGTGTGGGGACGCATGCCTACAACCCCAGTGACTTGGGAGGCTGAAACAGGGGGATCACAAGTTCAAGGCTAGCCTCAGTTACTTAGCAAGATCCTCAGCAACAAAGTGAGATTTTGTCTCAAAATTTAAAAAGGGCTGGGGATGGAGCTTAGTGATGGAGTGTTCCTGGGTTCTACCCCAAGTACCCTAAAACAAAACAAAACAAAATTTAAAAACCCTATGACAATCTGAGGAAATAGAACACACTCAATTTGCAAAAAATGTATAATATATGTGAATATGAAAAGACCAGGAAGAACAAGTCAATATGTAATACAAAAACTGATATTTTGAGTGACATTACTTGAATGAGTGATACCTAGGTTGCATGTAGAAACATGCCTGCTTACTAATACCATATCCATTACCCTCACTGTCTCAATTGCTCAGAGGTGATAAATGATTTTCAACGTATCATGCTAATATTTGCTGGTTCAACCCCTGAGTTAGTTACACCTTCTAAAAGCTGGGTTTCTACTTTTATACAGAAGGTTACTATGGATGCATCTCCAAATTAAGGTGGCCACAAAAATATCACATGTCTTCCCGCCTCCTGCCTCCCCACCTGTACTGCAAGGCCAGCCTCAGCGCCGTGGCGTTGGACTCGTACTTCCCCACCAGCATGCTCATCCTCTCTGCGTTGCTTTTGCACTCCTCCAGGGTTATGGTCAGAAGATCATTCTGGGATTTGAGGTGTTCAATTCGGCTACGAAACAAAGAAAAATCACTTTCACGCTGGGACTGTAATTAACTTGTCAACATTCTAGTTGTCTCGTTTATATGCAGGCCAGAAATGAGTGTTAAGATTTGTTTTAGCAAATGTAATGGACACAGAATAATCAAGGAAATGACTCTACATAGAAGAACCACTAAATTCTGTATAGATCAAGAATAAAAAGCAAGCCCCTAGTTATTTCCCACACTGCTGTGCTCTTCACATGCCAGGTACTGTATGAGACTCTGGGGATTTTAAGAAGGCAACAGATGTGTGACCTCAAGGACATCACCAGAGCAGCTGGTATGCTTCAGCATCACCCTACACAGGACGAATGAACTGCAGTCGTGGTTACTATTTGCTGAGTCTTTGCTCAATCCTGATCCCAGGGGCCTGTTGGATTAAGTATTGTTATCCCCATTTCTTTGATGAGGAGATGAAGGCACAGAAAGCTTAGCACCCTACCCTGGGATTTGAACCAGTTAGTCTAGTTCCAGATCTCATGCTCTCAAGCACATATTACATAGCAGAAGCAAAAGATGAACTTGATGAGTGAACAAGAAACTGTGCTTGAGGGTCCCTAAGTAGGAAATGGGCCAGAACTGTGGATGGTGTACAAAGCTCCTTCCAGGTTGGAGGTCCAGCAACTCTTAACTTCAGGTAGGGTCAGCAGTGAGAGCCTGAAGTTTTCTTAGATTCAGAGCTCTAATGCAAGGCCGATGAGTTTGTGGTGATATCAGAAAACAAACAAAAAACACCGAATCTTCAGTTTCTCCATTTCCCGTCCTAGGACATGTATATTCTAGGTATGATGATTCATTTTCCATAAAAATGCCACATAATGCTCTTAGCACTAAGTCTTAAGGAGACATTGGGTTAGACACCCACAAAATGCACGTGACTCTTGCAGTGTTTAGGGATATGGAAACCACTGGCTTCCAGGATAAATCTTAGAACCACAGATCTGAGAGCAGAATATGGGGACACATGTCCACATAGGAGACTTCTGGTGAGCGCATAAATAAGAGCTGTTGGGCTCTGGCAACTCCAAGGTCAATTCAAGGTAGGGTGTGACAAGAACAAACTCTTCTGCCCCTGTTCACGTTAAGACTTCTTGAAATGATCTGTGCTCTCTTGTTTATGACTCCAGTGTACATTCAGTCCCTGCTAATTAGATGAAGCCATTTACGCAGCCCACAGAGTTCCATGTGGCCAAACCCCAAATGCTCCTTCTTAGAATGCCTTTCTCACTGAGGTCATGGCGCCTCTGCTGGTTTCATCCTGTCTCGGAGGCCATTTCTTAGCCTCCTTATTCCCAGGAAAAGCTGTGCGGGTTGGTGCTCCTTTAGGGCTCAGTCTATTGGTGCTCCTTTAGAGCTCAGTCAGGGCTGTCTCCTTAACACTTTCACCCTCAGGGTGATTTTTATTTAGTTCTTGACTTTAAGAGGCATTTCTGTTCCCAGGGTTTGCAAACTTCTCTAGCCCAAACTCCTGAGTATCAGTCCCACATATCTAGCTACCTCCCATATTTCCAGCTAGGTGTCACATGCCACCTCCAGTTTAATATTCCAACAGGGAATTCTTGATTTTCCCCAAACTTTGTCTTTCCTCCCATCTTCTCCATCTCAGTAAATGCTACCACCATCTACCCAACAGTACAAGCTAGACACCCAAGAAAGATCTTTGAGACCAAGTATAAGCTAGACACCAAGTATAAGCTAGATAGCATCTTTGAGACCAACCTTTCTCTTACACCCAGACCTAATCCAGCTGGGGTTTGCATTGATTTTACATATCCTGAGCCCAGTGCCCACTGTGGACACCCTAGTCCACTGCCATCTCTCTTTACTTCGGTTCTTCTCTACCCTTCCATTCTTCATTTCTGAATGATCTTTCAAAATATAAATCAGGTCTCATTCTTCCCCATTTTAAAATTTAATCTAATAACCTCCAGTAACACATAGCATAAGTTATAAAATTTGTCGGTGCCCTCAAAATCCACATTCAAACTCATCCTGGCTTCATGACCACCTTATCTCATGTAATTCCTCCTTTTTCTCACCCTAGTTCAGTTCCACTGGTCTTTGGACTGAAATTCAAGACAATTTCTTTCCAGTCTTGAGGTAGTTAAATTGGCCCATAAGAATCTTTGTGGTTTGTCATATAGCTGTTTCTTTTCCCCTATAATCTCAGAGTAAACCTTCCCCTCTTCAAGACATATACCAAAAATCCACTCTCGGGCCGGGGCTGTAGCTCAATGGTAAAGCACTTGCAGTGCAGGAGGCCTTGGGGTCCATCCTCAGCATTGCAACGACAGCAAAAAGGAAATAAAAAAAAATCTGTCACTGTCCTTTTATGTCCATCGAGGAGCTTTCTCATCTCATCTGCTCGCTTTTTGTCCATCTCCCCTAATAGAATACAAACTCCATGAGAGCAAGAATTTTGTCCTTTTTGCTTTCTTTGCATGCCAAATAGCCCAGCACATAGTGGATACATAACACAGATGTGCTTAATGAGGAAAAACACCTCCCCTCCCCGAAGGGAAATCACAAAGTTGAAGGCTAGCATTTTTTTAGAGTAACAGGGCTTCAACTTTGAGAAAGGTAGTTAAAGAGAAGATACTAGGACATGTTGGTAGGTTATTTCTAAGAAATTCTAGATTCCAGCTGCAACTACTATCACAGAGAGGACAGTGGAGGTGAGGTCAAAGGGCAGGGGCTGGAATTCTGCCTCAGTTATTCAATAGCTCTGGGCTTAAGGCAAGTCACTCAATTTTCAACTGCAAAGCCTTTGTTTTCTGATTTGCAAAATGAGACTACCTTACCCTCACAAGTTGAAGCCTAGGTAGTTGTTTGTGAGAGCCCAAGTTGTTAAATAACACAATAATGTGAGTTACAAGTACTAAAATATTCCCTCATCCTTTGGCCTCTCCTGGGTACACATAATTGAGGAGAAAGGTACATCCCCCCAAATTCAGCTACAGAACAGGCTTATTAAATCCCAGAGTCAGTAGAGAGCAGATTCTCACTAAAAGAGGGCCCCCCTCAAAAGGCATCTGACTTCATTACATTGCAAAGGGCATATCTGAGTTAATCTTTAAGCATTCCCAGGCCAGTGATACTGAGAAGCAGTACTTGCTACGAGGTAATCATCAGGCTTGTCACTGTTAAGTATTTAGGATTTAATAAGGAAACCATTTAATTTCCAGATTTAAAATGACCTAGATTGCCACATTTCCTTAGTTCTCAAGAACTATATTAAACAGCTTCAATTCAGGAAGGACTAACATGATATTTAATTTATTCAGCTTTGCCACACACAAGAGGAATGGAATGAAGCAATGGTGGATGGGAAACGGCATCCGCATTTCTTCATGGTTAGCTCATCAGCCTTCCAAGTCCTTGCTGTGCTCTCCCACTAAGGATGTCTAGGTCAAGGCAGTCCCACCACACTTGGATGTGGTTACAAAGTCCATCCGGCTATGACAGAACAAGGCCGTGACAGAGAGGTCACCATGGCTTGGCCCTGGTCCTTGTCCTTTGCATTTCTACTGACTCCCTCACAACTAGGCTGACATGCAGCCAGTCTTACCAAGAAGCAGAAGAGCAAACTCAAACTACCTATTTCGTGGGAACTGGGAAGAATCCATGAAACTGGGCATATGGTAGATTTACTCTTAAGTCAGACAGTTAGGATAAGATGTAGGGACCCAGACCAACAGCATAAATAAAGTGAGTCAACACGCAGGAATAGCAGGGAGAGTTAGAGCAGGGTGCTTAGCTGAAGCCTGGAATATCTCTGCCAGACTGCCTGTGCTGTTTCCTGGAAGATCCAGGCGCCCCCGGGACGCTGACTCAACATTCCAGGACTTCCCTCCGTGGCTCTGTGCAGCAAGGGCCTGTGTGCTTGGCAGCCATCTGTGACCTACTTGCCACTCTCTATGGACTGCTCCCAGGACTTGCTATGTCATTTGCAAGGTCCAGGATGAAATGAAAAAGCAGAGCCCCTTGTTTGTAAATTAGTAAGAATTTAAAATGGTGACTTGTAAAGCAAGTGTGGAGTTTTTCTAAGCACGAGGTCCTGTGGGAACACAGGTCACATTCCATGAGGTGGCCCTGACTACTTCAAGCAAGTCTCCTGTGGCCCAGATGGTGGAAACCCCCATCTCACTGGCTTGACAGCCTCAGTCCAGGCCACAATACACACTCCAACTGGAATGAACCTTTGGAAAAGGAAGGGAGGACCAGCTCTCGACCCCCCAAATATGAAGGACTGATCCTTACCTATTTAGCCGTTCTGTCTCCACCTCAAACTCTCTAATCTTGCTTTCAGAGATGGCAGATCCATGTGAGTACAGCGTCTGGAAAATCTCTTGGATGTTGGAGCAGTCCTGAAGAGAATGGGCCAGGTGTTCCGCCACGCTGCTGGATACCTGCACAAAGGAGTGTTAAATCCCCTCTGGAGAGTGTCAGTTTAGGGACCCTGGTCCCCAGGATCACTGCATGCACAACAATTTACACTATGATTCCTTGATGTATCTTAGTTTTTATATTATAATTCTAACATAAAAAGCTAACTAATGAAAGCAGTATATAAAACACAAAATACAGCTACATCTCCCCAAGCATCTGCCTCTGAACAGCAAGAGGGGGGCCAAGATGTCTCCCTAGGGCCCCTGAAATTTTGGATAAAATTTAAACACAATCTTGGAGTCCTTCCCCTTTCCTGAACCCTCTGCCATTCCAGGCCACTGTCGATGGTTAACTATGGCCAAAGAGGTTGACTTCTTTATTTTCACAACCTGGATTTCACATGGAGTCTCAATGCATACAATTTGGGGAGTGGGGTTTGTGCCAAGTATTAACCCAGGGCCTTGTGTGGACCAAGCAAGCATTCTGCCATGAAGCTGCCATTTTGCTTAGTGAAAAATTTCAAATTAGGGTCTTTTAAAAGCCCTTTCCAGGAGCTCTCCACTCCTGAGGATCAAACAGCCCACTCTAGGGCCTCATGTCCAATCCTGTAAGATACCCCTTAGGGAACTGAAACTACTCCCTTGTCACCATGGCTCAGCTCTTACACTCCAGCGGGTGGTGTTCCCACTGGGGACTCTGCTCTAGCACTGGCCACACTTCAAAGGCGGCTTCCTCCTCACTGGAGAGCACATTCCCTTCAAGAGGGATGTGCAAAAGGCACAGTTCTTTTGAGTTTCATGACTCCCTTGGTCTCTGGGGGACAGGGCGATGGAAAACAGATACTTCAAGACTTTCATTGACACTACCAGGAACTATACCCAAATGTTTTCTTTCTAAATGGTTTTAAGCGGGGGGTGGGGGTGGGGATTTCCCTTAAAAGCTGAAGAAGTAATTCACCACGTGAAAACCACTATACATTTTAATTTGACCCCGTGGAAAGAAACCAGGTATGATTTATTATTATCATTAACCAGTTTATTGGAAGTGAACTGCAGAAGTTCAGCCATCCAGGAGACGTTGTCTATGCAGCTCTTAGGCGCCTGCTTCTCAGCCACACTCACCCCTATGCTGCTGATTTCTGAGCCCAACACTGGCCGATCCGACGAGGAGGACTCAGATCTTGTCTTTGACAGCTTCACCCTCTCTGCAATCTTACAGAAGAAAACATTCATCAGAAAAGCACACATCACTCCTTGATCCACTGTCACCATCACATATACACGGGACCATGGTTTAACCACGTCAATTAAATTGATAATGTCATAAAAATAACTCCCTTGTCCAATTCTTCTACCATCAACTTAACCCTGGCTTCTCAACCTCAGCACTACTGATATTTTGGGTTAGATAATTCTTTGTTGGGGGTGGGGGGATGTGTTCTGTGTATTGTAGGATATTTAGCAGCATCTCTGACCTCTAGCCACAAGATGCCAGTAGCATTCCAGCTGTGACCATCCAAAATGTCCCCTGGGGACAAAATCACTTCTGTTTCACCCAACTTGCTAAATTTGAGGGCCAATGTTACTAGGGAGAGTGGGAGGGCTACCAGAAAAGAGGACAAGCATCTTTGAATAGTCTTTCTGTAACAGACGCAACATAGGAGCTGGGGGACTGTGGCAGAGGACAAGTGGGACACCTTCTCCAAACGCCTGCCCGCTGTGATGCCCTCCTTTTTATTTTTTTTTGCTGTCAAAGCTGGTGGTCCATGAGGGGGCAGATCATTGGCTCATTCAGAGTCCCCGCTGGGCTGAACCTTAGTCCTCTGAGAGTAACTGTCCCTCCACTGTGAAGTATTGTAGCACTTGACAAAACATCTCACCGTTTGCAATGACTTGTCAGCTGTGACATTCTCCAGCTGGCTGATTAATGAGAGCTGGCCTCCAGGTTGTAGTCAAAAGAAACTTAAAACTATTAGCAGGTTATCTCTCCCTGCAGCTCCGCGCGGGAGGCCTGTGCATAGTCCCAGGGGAAGCTCCTGGGCCAGCTGAACTAAGGGAAAGCCTTCACAGTGGCACTAGGAGGGGGCTGGGACTTTTAGATAAGGGGAAGTGTTCCCACCATCAGTCCATCCCCAGGAGCTCACCTTGGCAATTGGAATGTCATTGCTGCTGCTGCTGGTGCTCAGCTCTCCGGTGCTAGGGTTAATCGGGCGGTTGGCAGAAGTGAGGCGGCCAGGGCTGGAGGGACCTGCAGCCTGAACGCTCTGCAGTCTAGTCTGAAGCTCTCGAACCTGAAACCAAAATTACTTTAGACGGGACTGGCGGTTTCCCTGGCCGAAGAATAAAAGAGCCAGATGGGCTGATGGCAAGGCTTTCCTTTACATTAAGGGATCAGCTTCACTGTAATACTAAATCGGCTAAGTTCACCTAAGTCACTGTATCCTCAACTGGACCTGCCACTGACAGTCATCTGTTCTTTACAAGCAACTGTGTTATCTACAATGCTGAAAGCTTCTAACAGTGCCCAGCTTTAGGGCATGTTTATTCATGCAGAGATTCAAGTGCCTAAAGCTGTGCTGGGTGCTGCAGAGAAAGGACTTGGGATACAATCTTCACTCTCATCGAACTGAGACCCTAGAGGAGGGGAGAGACAAATGATCTCTGCACAAGAGCACCTGAGTGCTAGAAACCCTGACCTTGAGGGTTACAGGCAGCAGGAAAGGGGAGAAAGCAACTCCACCTGATGTCCCCCGGAGAGCATAAGAAGGACAGACAACGGGCTTGAGGCGAGTCTCACAGATGAACAAGTAAGAGGCTGGTTTGGGGGTAGCATCAGGGGGATGAGGGTGAGGATAGCCCAGCTTGCACAGGGGCCCAGGGTTGGGTGATGTGAGGTGTTTGAAGAACTGAAAGTTATGGGGGATGTGTGGTTTTGAAGATTTTATGTGCTGGGAGGGAGGTTAGGGTAAGATGAAGGGACAGGGATGGCACCAGCAGCTTCCCCCAAGTGACTTGAAATGGGACCATCCCTGAAACAGTGGGAAGGAATATCTAAATAGCCCTTCATTATAAAAAAGAAACACCAGGCTCTTTGTATTACATTTAAGATATACATTTATCTGCACAGAATTCAAATATCCATGTCCCACTTCTCTATGGAGATAGCTCTGTGATTTCCAAGGAAAAAAGGGTTCTAAATAAGCAGAGAGAGTTGCTAGAAATCAGTCATTCGAATCACCTTGATCACATTTTACTACAAGTCTTTATCTTAAAGTGCAAACTGACTCCAGGACCCAGGGGCCATCACGAATGAGTGGAGACCAGACCCGCCTGGAGGAATGAGCACTAGCACATTTAAAGAAGAGCTTCCGAACTTTATGATGTGCCAGAATGCCCTAGAAGGCTTGTTAAAACAAAGATTCCAGATCCCCGAGCCCACCAGGATTCAGGTTTAGTAGCACTGAATGAAGCCAGGAATTTGTATATCTAATGAACTCCCCAAGGATCCTGCCACCGCCTGCTGCTACTGTAAGGGGTCCCCAAAGCCACAAGGCACGTTAGTCTCATAGATTCACAGCCCAGAGTCAGCCCTGCTGCCAAAGCCCTTCCAGGCAAGGACAGAGAACAGGCACACAGCCCCCTTCACTAGAAGCCACTGCCAGGCTTTTCATTCTAAATGTCTGGGATGGCTCCACCCTGCTAACTTGGGAACCAAAAGTAATTGAAATTTCAATAATTCATCAACATATTAGAAGCCAAAATAGGGAAATTCCCCTGGAGCAAATTGCACTCAATAGTGAAACAGCTCTAAAGTGCCTACTGCTCCCCGGCTCCCGGGGAATGTGGGTTGATGGCAGCGTGTGCCGTCCTCACCACCCTACACGTAGCACCCGTCTCGAAGCAGCTCACACACTAGAGAAAGGATCCTGCCGAAGCCAAGTTGTACTGCTGGTGAGAGACCACGGGGCACGTTCTGGGAGGGCCTCCGACAAACCAAAGAACAGCGTCAGTGTGGATGTCTCATTATGCCAGATGGCCAAGGAAGGGAGAGGGCCCATGTTCCTGTCAGGAGAAACCTCCCTGGTGGAGACTGTGGATTTCAATTTCCACTGCAGTGAAAGTCTGATGAGGTCCTGAATAATTAACAATGTTAACATCACTCCAAAACCTAAATTGTGTCTGAATTGTACACAAAACCATCAGTGGCCTGTCCTCAGAATCCCAAGAGGCCTACTCATTTATTTTATTTATTTTTAAATACAAATGGTCTGGCACTATTCATAAAAATTTCATTGAAACTTTTTTTTTTTTTTTTTGTACTGGCGATCGAACCCAGGGGCACTCAATCACTGAGCCACATCCCAGCCCTTTTTGTATTTTATTTTAAGACAGGGTCTCACTATGTTGCTTAGGGCCTTACTAAGTTGTCGAGGCTGGCTTTGAACTCGAAATCCTCCTGCCTCAACCTCCCAGGTCGCTGGGATTACAGGAGTGTGCCACCATGCCCTGCCCCTGAAATTATGTTTTAAAAACATTTCTTCTAATCACAACATCATATGAATCATATTCATTGTGGAAAATGTAGACAGTGAAAATTAAAACAAGAGAGGCACTTGCGTTCTATTGGTGCAGAGACAATGTTTGTGGCCGCTTGGCATGGTGTGCCAAATAAAATAATTTCTAAATCTAAATGTCCATTTTTACTTTAAAAGCTCTGGAGCCAGGGAATGTTCTGAAAACCCTAAAGAATGATAAACATGCTTATTTGGGGCTACGCTTTATTATTTGATGATAATTGTAAGGCAGTGGAGTGGGGGGTTCAGCTGGAGGGAGTTTAGTAAGCCTCTGCTGGAAAGACAGCTGCTGGATGGTTAGATGGCCTCCTCCCCCTCTTGATTTGGGGGTGGGGATCTCAATGAACTTACATGAATAAATACACAGAATCCAAGGCTACGGTCAATTTGCTGAGTCAGCTCAGCAAAGCCTGGGAGAGGCACAGGCACGTAGCTCTCAGAGCACTGGCTTTCCTTCTCACTCACTTGAGTGCATTTTGTCTTCCAAAAAAGATATGTCCAAATTCTAACCCACAGTATCTGTGAATGCGACTTTATTTCAAAGCAGGGTCTTTGCAGATATAATTAAGGATCTCTAGCTGAACTCATTTTTTTTATTTGGTGGGCCCTATCTAATGACTAGTGTCCTTAGAAGAGAAGGAGTGGGAGACCGAGACACAGGGAAGAAGGTCATGTGAAAACGGAGCCAGGGACAGGCCACAAGTCAGGGAATGCTAGGAGCTACCAGAAGCTGGGACAGGCAGAAAGGGTTCTCCCCTGAGCCTTAGGGCTCACCCTAAGATGTCATGGCTCTGCCACTAACACCTGAATTTTGAACTTCTGGACTTCAGAATGATAAAAAGAAGAAATTTTCCTGTAAATTTGAGTTACCATGTTTGTGGTAATTAATTCATATACCCATCTTTCATTAAAGATTTTTCACTAAAGGAAATACGTTTCTCTATCAAATGTATGTCGTAGAGTTAGACAGTGGAGTGGGATAAAGATGGCCAAGCATATTCCAGACCTGAGGACAGCCAAGAATAAAGGCAAGCCTGAGGTAGGGCTCAAACTCATGGAAAGACCATTCAACACCCTTCTTGGTCTTTCTCAGTTGGGTTCCTCAACAACAGGACCTAACCCAGGTTGCCACATTCCTCCTGAAGTTACTACATAGCTGGCGTCCACCCAGACAAATGGAGGTTGCTCTTGGAACAGAGCATGGGAACTCTAGTAGAGTATGAAGACAGTGAGGTTCTTATCTTCCAGGGGCTCGGAATTGAGCAAAACATCACAAGGCTCTGCAAAGGCTACCAACAAGGGGGTGGCAGTGCAGATGAGGAGTCTGCCTTACCTGCAGCAAAGGTGAGATCCCCTCTTGAAGGCTGAGCAGACTTCAACAAGCAAGTAAAAAGGAAAAGATGGGGGCGGGGACTCTGGAGAGCTCAAGTAAGGAAATGACAGTTAAGAGGCCAGAACTCTGCTTCTTCTTGGTATTTCTTTATGGATTTTATAAGAATCACTTGATGAGTAAAGGAAAAACTGGAGTGAGGAGGGAAAAGTTGGTGAGAGCATTACTAATGGTTCAGGTGAGAAACAACGAGGGCTCAGACAGACAGTGAAGTGGGATAAAGATGGCCAAACACACTCCAGCGCCTGGCTGGACACACAGAAGTTACCCTGTTCCATACACCGGAACCTGGTAGAGTACAAAGGTGAGATTCTTCTCTTCCAGACAGAACTTTCTGTCACGACAGGAAAGTACAGTGGCACTGTCCGCTATTGTAGCCACCAGACACAGGAGGCCACCGAGCACTTGTAGCATGCCTACTGTACCCAAGGTACTGAATTTTAAACTGTACTTAATTAAGTTCAAATTTAAATAGTTGTGCATGGCTAGTTGTCGCTGTTATCTGTCAATACAGTTCTAGGAATATTCAAAGAGGTAAAACAACCACCCAAACCTGCCACTGGGTGACTGAATGGATCATGGTTCTACTCAGCACAGGGTAAAACATAAGAAGGAGCTGATTTTTTTCAGAGAGAATTGAAGATGTCAGCTTTGGACATGTTGAATTTGAGGTAACCCAGGGGATGTGAGTGAGGACCTTCAGCTGACAATTAGATATATAAGCCTGAAGGAAGGGGATCAGAGCTGAACTTACAGACTTAGGAAATCTGGTTATGGCTAAGGCCCAGGCAGTGGGGTAGGGCAGTGGCCCGTGCATAGTTGGCAGAAGTAGAGGGTCAGTGGAGGACAGGAAAGGGGGCAGTAAGGAGGGTGAGTTTGCCCTGCACAGGGCAATAGGAAACAATAGGAAATAGAGAATAGGAAACAGCCCATCTGATGGCTTTTCTTTTTTTTCTGCTAAGCATAAGGGAGAGAATTAGCAGGTGTCAGGTATGATGACAAAGGAAGCTAGCTGACCTAGGGCCAAAAAGAGAAACAGAAAAAAAGTAAAAAGCAAGCTTACACAGCAAAACTGAGATCTGGCTGGGCTCTTTCATTCTGGATGGCAGATTGAGTAAATGCATGTTTTCTTCAAACGCCAGAGACCTCATTAAAACCACAGTAAAGAACAAATTTTTAAAAGGATTAATACCATAACAGAGAAAAGAACATGCTTTGGGCATTAGCAGAAACAAGACCTGGGCACATTTCTTAAAGGCCAACTGGAAGGAAGACTCCAGCACCCATGGAGGAAACAGAATGAAAAAATTCTGTGATGTACACAAAG